ATAATTGCTTCAACTTCAATCATAATGTAGTAGCCGTTTTCTCCTTTAAAACGTCCTGAAAAACATTGTTAGAGAGATGGAGATCGATATGTGAAAGTGCCTTGTGATCTTTCCGTTGTTTCTCCTCCGTAGTCTAAATTGTGGGCATTTCGTCAAATTCCAACAATGCATCATCCAAATCCATCTGTGCGATTACAGCTCGTATCTTTACTTGCTACAATAAAAATCTTGTATTGCGATTCAAAAATAGAATTTCATACCTCATGGCTGCCATCAATAACAAAAAGTTCAAACAGATCACAACCAATAGCTCTGATACCATTTACTAATAAATTATCCAAACATAAGCAAATATTAACCATCTTAAGTCATCCATAAATTGAGCATCCCTTGCAAAACGTGAGGAAAGCATGGAAAATTCGACATACCAAAATTTTCTAATAGTATTTACAAAATTTATAGAAAAAATCTAAAAATAACGATCTCATTTTTACAAAAGATGCTTACTTATAAATCTGGTCATATTAGAGCGTTTAAAGAAGTACTTGGTACTATAATAATTAGAGGAACGATCCTAGTTTACCATTTTAACTAGGGTGGTAATGGCCCCATACCATCCATTTGCCTGATAGATCGATCTTAGTTTGGCACAAACTTTATTTTATTATAGGCATACGGCTAGATAGAAATGACCTCTCAATTTCACGAGCCGAATAGGCCCAAACGTGTAGGCCAATTGGTCCATTATTCATTTAAAAATCCATTTTAGAAAAATAAATTAATGGCCCTGTGGACTACATTTATAATGTTGAATGGTTAGAAAGAATGTTGGTGTTTAGTGTTCCAATTTGTAATCGTGTTGTTCGAACCGTTAATATTCCTAGTTTTACCTGTACAAAGATAAGCCACTTGCAATCACATGACGTGACTATTCAACATTTAAATGGACAATTTTTGTCCTTTTGGCATTAATTTGCCTGTGCGAAAGGTTAAAGATGCATCTAATACAAAGAGAAAGTTGAAGACCGATTCATTGTATTTCTAGTACATTGATGTGCCCAACTCGTATAGACCAAATAAAATAAGAACTAAATATCAATTATTTATTTTATATAAAAAACATGTAATGATTGGTGGTGGTCAATTAGTTTAAGTAGACAATAAATTAACTAAGCTCTAAAAATATCATGCACAACTTGAGTTCATGTGGGGCTAATCGATGGACAGATGCTCAACACTATAAAAGAATAAGAAGAGTTTAGTAAAGAAAATAACTATACGTGTCCCCAAATGGAATACAAGTTACGAAATAGTGACGTTACGTGTTAATTATTATCGAAATTTAGATGGGACATTTAAATATTTTATATATTATGAAATTATTTGATTATCTTACTTTCTGACATCAAGAAACTATTAAATTATTGTTCGAAAAAAGTAACTGTTAAGTTTCCATCGGTGTAGCTAAAAATTAAAATTTTAAAAATTTTCAATAAAAAGTAATGAAATGTATGATTTAAAATTCGTGTATGTCATAAATGTATAATTAAAATTAATTGTTGATTTAAACTTAAAATTTTTAAAGAATTTTTAATTCTTACCAAATAGGGGCTAAAATTTTTTATTTAGGACCGTATTCGTAGTTTCTATAAATTCGTCCCGAATTCTACTTATTTCTTGTAACAAAATTTGATTTAAATTTTATGAGTTCAATCATACTCATTTACTTTGAAAGGTATCTCGTACCCAACCCTCTCAACACGATAGCAAATATTAATAATAATAATAATAATAATAATAATAATAATAATAATAATAAATTCAAAAATTTGATCAGAATGAGACAAAGAAGGTAAAAAGTAATTTGCTTTTGTTGAGGTCATCACATAAAAGTAGTGTAAAATTATTCATATATTTTGGAAACACCGTAATCTCCCATTTTGGTATTTTATAACTGTATACAAATGAAAGTGATTTAAATTTTACTGTGTATTGCATAAGTAAAATTAATTGAGTCGATTAATAGAGCTTATATATAGCCCTTGTTTAAGCCTCATTTTTTTTTTTGGGAAGAATGAATTTTTGAATAGTGTATTGACGGGAAATGTGTGGTTAAAAAATAAGGAAAAGTTTTAGATTTACGTGTAATATTATTTTATTGAAGAATGTGTGATTGAAATGATGTTAAAACACTATTGAAAAATATATTTTTTCAAAAGAATGGAGCTCAAAAACGGCATAATTTTTAAAATAACAAATTTCATAAAAGATTTAAAATTAAAAATTAGGTTCTAGAGACCATCTAAATTTAAATAATCTAAACTTGGACTCATCGATAAATTTCTCTTGAATTTAAAACTCCATATAGAAAAATTGAAACTTTTAATGCTTCATCAAATTCAAAGGCTATATAGCCCCATTAAATTAAATTCAAATTTATTTTTTTCTCTCTTATTTTCAATTACACAATTTTTCGTAAAATAATATTATACTTAAATTGAAAAAATTTCTTTCTTTTTCAATCCGTCATTCTTAAAAAAATATTATTCCACCCATTTTAATTTGGAAAAATGGAAGCCAAATTGGGCTATAATTTATCAATCTCTAATACTAACAATTCATACTTTGAAATCGCCATTTGATCACCTGAACTAATTTACTCTATCAAATCATCAAACCTTTGTATTTCAAACCATTTGAACCAGCTCTTCGAACTTTGATTGGCAAGCTCTCTTCGGGCCCTCGAGGATTTGAAAATATCGCTTTGGTTCAAATGTAGTCTATACTAATATCACTAATAAAGAGATAAAGATAATATTTAAGGAGGAACTCATGCATATTTCTATTAACGAGCTTCACCACTAAGCATTTGCACATTATGGCAAATCCTATTGCTTTTGGAGTAGACAAGAATCGAATAAAACTTCTTTTAGTCCATTGTAATTTTCAATGCGCAATGGGTCATGTGACCCACCAACTAAAAATTGAGTTCTTTTTTTTTCTATTTTAAAGAAACCAGATTTGAAGCAGAAGAACGCAAGCCCGAAAAAGCTGAAAAGCTTTGAATGAAGTTTTAATTTTTTTAAAGAACGTGAAAGATTCATTCATAAAAAGTTATATGCCTCATTCTTCGGGAAATTATTTCTTTTTGATGATTTCTTTTGTATTTTATTGTAAAATGGAATTGAGAATCCACTTAAATGGTCCAATTTCCACCTTATTTTGGAGATTTTATGGTGATGAATACTTACTATGATTTTTTCTTTATTTGGATTGAAATGTAGTTGATAATGTAACTTTTGGTTGTGATTGAAAAATAATTTAAACATAAATATGTGTTTTCTTTTGATTATCGCAATGTTAAATGAAGGAATATTCGAGATAAAAGTAATGAAAATGATGTTGGAGATAAAAATGATGACAAACTTGGTGATATTCAAGATAAATGTAAATATGCATTTTTTGCAAGTTTGATTGTGCTCCACTAACTCAGATGTCTACGTCTGTCACTCTGTGTGTGCACGTCTACTTTGTCTTACATATATATTTGAAAGTTATGCAATGTAATGTTTAATGTATATTTTATGAAAAGTGATTTCTTTTAAAAGAAAAATTGTGTTTCTAAAGTATTAATTCATATGCAAAATTATTTTACTAAAAAAATATGTAATTAAAAACGAGTTGGGCTTAATGAATCTTAAAGAATATGTACGAAATACTGGAGTAATAAAGTGAGAAACAAAAGGTGAGTAGCTCATTGTGGACAAGGAGAAAAATGCAAAATCGCAACGCTAGCTCTATGTTTATAATTTGTAAAAGTTTGATCTCCAATCTTTTGAAAGGTGAAACATTGATCTCTATTGTTTCAATTTTGTTCGAAGTTCGTTTAGAGGAACATTTTTTGTCCAAAGATCTGTTCAAATGGCAGCCTTATATTGTAAAGGCAATTACATCCTTACAAAAAGTAAAGAAAAGAGAAAAGGTAGCTAGAACATAATGTTCTCACTTTTCATTATCATTTTGCAAAACGTTCATACCTTTCTTTTTTGACATTTATTCACAATTAACATCTAGATATGGTGAAGACCTAATAAGACCACAAAGACCAGCAATTTCAATGGTAATATTTTCATATCAAAATGCTAGATGCATCCACCCAAACATAAAATAGGGAAAAGTTGAAAGGTGGTAAGAACAAAAGAAATTTTATGCAGCAAATCCATGTGTAAAAATTATTTTATTAAAAAAAGTGTGTAATAAAAAATGAGTTTGGGAATAATAAATCTTAAAATATATGTACAAAATAGTGGAGTAATAAAGTGAGTAACAGAGGACGAGTTGCTGATTTTGGACGAGGAGAAAAATGAACGTTTTGCATAATAATAGTGAAAAGTGGAATCGTTATGCACTAATTGCTCAAAAAGAAACAACCTAGGAAAGAACATATGGAGAACACGAATTAGAAATAAATGAAAATACTTGCCATTGCTCTTTTCAGTCAAAATGCCACTACCACTTTCTCCTTTACCTTATTATTCTCTTAGACGGGATAAAATCAAAGTTTCACAGGTCGTAACTAAGGGGTCTACGTATTAGAGACAGGGCGCGACAAGTTTAGGTTGGTTTTATCGGGTGACTAACATTACCATATATTAAGGGGTAACCTTTTTTCTTCTTCTAACAATAGTACCTTGCATGTTTTACACATATATTTTTACAAATCATTGAGATTAACCATACAACAAAATTGAAATGATAGGGACTAAGTTGTTATTTTCTAAAAGTTAGAGACAAAAGTACTATATGTGTTGAAGATCGAGGATCAAACGTAAAATAGGGTGCAAATATAAAATAAGTAGAATAGAAAAAAGAAAAGCAAGGGGAAGAGAACAAAATAGCTGAGGACCATCCAGTACACAGAAAGAGGCAACAACACAACCACTGGGCTCTGCCTTTCTCTCTCCTCTGTCCCTCTTCCTCTCGCCCACTCATAATTATTCTGGTCTGTCCTTCCTCCTTTCTCTCCCTCTATTTTTTTTTTCCTCATTTTCATCTCTCGAAATTTTCATTTAATTCTGTTTTTATTTTATAATTTGCATTTGCGTATGACAGTACAAGAAGATTTTTAGATTTTGCATGTTAGCAGTTTCTTTTTCTGTGTTTTTTCTTAACAGTATTGAATTAATTTTTTTGTTCACGATTTTATATTGATGATATAATTTGATTTTTTTTTTTTATAGGGTTTTCCCAGCAGATCAGTTTCTGCAATTCTCTACTGAGTTTTTCGCCGGACCTTGAAGGGTTTTTTAGGGTTTCTAGGTACTATGATGGTGGAGCTTGTCAAGTGAAGTCTTTGATTCAAGAGGGCAAAACAGACTTCTCGCGAGAAACTTTCATTCTCTGCTGGGATTTTTATTTCTTCCGTAAAATCTTTCAATTTCCTGCATTTAATTATATGAACAGTGTCATTTGTATTTGATATGTGAAGAAAGGGTTTGATCTGCGAATCGGTGGACATATTTGAGGTTCTTTTTTGTCGTTCTCCGTTTATTGTTTGATCTGTCGATTGGGTTTTGAACTGATTTTGTCTGAGGCAGAATTCATTTTGAATTGTTGGAAAATTTTGGGATTTTAGACAAGGGGTTCTATCTGACTCCTTTTCTGATATTTCGTAAATGGGTGATGATTGGAAAAATTGAGTGTTTTTGGGTTGCCCAATAGTGTTAGGTTCTCGGATTTAAGGGCAAACAAAAAATGGATGCGGGAGAAGTTTTTAATGGGGGAAATGAAAGCAAAAGTGAAACCAGAAGTCAAGGATTAAATATTGTGGACGAAATCAATATAGCAGAGCCTAAATCAAAGCCTCAGTGTTCGCAAATGGAAGTGATGGAGATGGAAACTGATGAAACTGGAGATTTAACTGTTAGCAATGGTGGAAATGAGACTGTAGTTATTAGTTCACCGAAAGTTGAGGGAGGAAGCAATGGGAATGTGGTTTTTTCTAGGGAAGCTCCACTTGTAAGTCGGGAGGATTTGAGCATACCCACATGTAGCTGTGGAGCTGAGAAACTTAAATCCAGATTGGCTGCTTCGGATTCTGAGCCTGGGAAGAATGAGAAGAAATTTAGTAGACAAGATAGAATTGAGTTAGGGCGGTTTTTTCAGGGTGCTGTGAGTTCACACGATTGGGAGCTTGCAGAGAGTCTGATCTTGCTGGCAGATCCACAGACTCTAAATGACGCTCTCTGCATTTCTTTAGATTCAATCTGGTTTTTGAGTACACAACAAGAGTTGTATGGAATTACTGGGTTGATCAAGAAGATTGTCGCCAATGGGGCATATGACTTCACTCGAGCTGCACTTCGGACTTCGTTTCTCGCTTCCTGTGTTTCTGCCTGCCAGAGTCGAACAATGAGCCTGGCAGATACTGTAACTGTGATGGCACAGAGGTATAATACTTTCTTTGATACACATGTATTTAGAAGCAGTATTACTGTTTATTTTACGGAAATGTCAAGTAGAGTTCTTTTAGTGCCTGTAATGTTTCCTGTTATTTTTCTTTCATGTTTTCCGTCAACAGAATATAGTGAGTGCTTCCTATATATTTTTCTCTCAAACCTTGCTGGGGAAGGCTGGAAATGATGCCTATTCTTTAGCTTGAAGTAGTTTACTTCTGAGTAAATGATAGCCAGTATCTCTGGAAACCTGAATGGCTGCAGTGAGGATGACAATGCATGTGAATTATAGCTAGATTTCTTCGTTATACAATATGGAAGAATTGTATAAAGAAATATTAAAGTTTAAAAGGTGTATGAGGTAAGGGTGCTGAACACTCTGTAGGAATTAGCAAGATGCCAAAGAGGGGCTTTTTATATAGCATGTATTTCAAGACCTAACTAAATTTTTAGGGATTCAATTTTACAGCATTCAACTGTAGTCTCTTATGGTGTCATGTCTGTATAATTGAGTAAGGAGGAACCTGTATAACCAGGAGAAAAATTATGCTCTTGTGTTCATGGTTCTCAAAGGACTTTCTTGGCCCTTGTAAAGAAAGGTGCCCTGATAATTGAAGAGACTTGAAGCTCATCCATGTCCTTTGTACTCCGTCTTCCAATCACCCAAAATTTCATCTCTAGTTGATGAAGCTTTCATTGTGAGATTGTCTACCAGTACATTGTGCTATCATGTTACAGTTTGATATTTGTTCTGGCTATATCGTATGTTGTAGGTGTTGTTAGTTGCCAAGTTACAATGCTAACAGACTTCTCTGTTTATTGGGCATGACTAGGTGTGTTTGATATCATATGGAATGAGTACAATTAATGGAGGGGACAGAATATTGCTTATCCAAAGAGGATAAAATAATAAAACTAGGGGTGTATTTGGTCTATGAATTTTGCTAGTTGTACAACAACCCTGGTTGACAACCTCCTCACATGAGGGGGGCTCATGATTTTTTTATTCATTGTGAGCCACCCTCCCATGTGTGTAGTTGTCAATCCCGGTTGTACATGTAGCATGGCCGTTTGTCTATACACCTTACATCCATCATGATGTAATTAGAGAGGGAAGCAGGTTCACATAGTCCATGAAATTGGAAGATTTTGGCTATTCATCTCTGAAGATCCAATTATAGCTTGAGGTAGTTACTATGAATTATGGAAACTGTAAGTCTGTAATTATTATCCAGACCCAGATTGAAACCTCAGTTTGCTGGGTAGCTAACCTACTTAATTTGTGAGTGGCAACGAGAATTTAACTCGATAATATGTTTTCTTTTTATCTGTTAGCATTTCTTTTGTTTATTCAAGTCATTTCAGACATTTCTAGCGTGATAGCTCAGAATTTTCCCTCCCATCTTAGCAGGTTGCATGAACGACTACAGGAATGCAATGGTGATGAAGTTCTGAAGGCAGAAGCTGGTGCCAAGGTCCAGAAGTTCACAGAATGGGCTCTTAAATGTATAAGTTTCCACTCTCGTTGCCAGGGAAATAGAGACAGAGTGGGCCGCAACTCTGCCATTGAGATCCAGCTACAACTATCAGCTTTCAAGACCTTTCTAGATCTTGCTGGCAATCATCTTACGGGGAAGGACTTTACTGAAGCATTTGATGCAGCTTGCTTCCCACTTACACTCTTCTCTAGTTCATTTGATCCTGGTTGGGCATCTGGTATATCAGCAACTGCTATCCAAGGATTGTTGGGCATGCTGGTTGAGGGTGGTGCTGACAATGTCAACCAATGTTTTCTTGAAGCTTCACGATTTGGGAGCACAGAGCTTGTTCGCATTTTATTGCAGGTAACTTAATCTGAGCATGCTAATAGGTTGGCCTTGGTGCTACTGTGGACCATTATTGCTAGTACTCGATTATTTCTGGTATAAGGTTTGTGGACACTGCATTATTGCGACTTTATCAGTTGTTTCAGGCTATCACTTCATGATGCATTCCCTCTCTCCATCCTTCCCACCCATGCCCCCCCTGCCTTTTCCTTCTTACCCTCTCTGCATAAATTCCGCGCATCCCACATTTGGTGTCAGCTAATTGAATTCTTTTGCCAAAAATGCACACTTATTTCAGCCCTTGTAAGCATTAGATTAAGTAAGGAAATTTCCCCTTTTGATAATTTAGTAATTTCTGTTTTTGCTAGAAATATTCAATATAAGTAGGACTAAGATTTCTGGATAATGAGACTAGATTTGATATTCAATGATGTTGAAAATTCCTATTTGCTTCTATCTCCTAATTCTCCGATTGTTCTTCCCTGTTTCTATCTTTTTTCTCTTTCCTATTTGGTGATTTTAGTGTTTTTAGCCTGACAATTTTATTCGTATTCCTTATGAAAACCCTTTTTGGTATTTTATTTTAGAAAAGCTACAGCAGAGGACTTTATACTTGTGCATATTACTTTCAGAGTTCCTGTCCTTGTATTTTAGCATTTCTGATCATTTGATTGTTATTTAGGAGAAAGATGAGCGACGATAGAATGTTGTCTGAGTGTTGATTTTTGTGAATGTCATAAAATTTTCTTGATTATTTTGTTCAAATAGCATCTGTATTCACATTAGCATTGTGTTATTTAGGTTCTTGTAGACCATGAAGCTAGCATCAACATTACTCTCTCTGCATGTTGCAAGTATAAATTTTGGTGCAAGTTCTTGTCTTATCTTGACATATTTCTTGTTTCATTCTTCAGTCTTATTCTTAATATTTGCCTGACTAAATTGGCCTGACATAAGGTTCATATGTTTGTCATTCTTTGGGCCTTAGATTGCTCAAAGGAACAGCTTGGATGTTGATGTTGACCTAGCTTTGGGCTTTGCTTCCCATTATTGTAAAATTGGCACGATGGAATGTCTAGTGGAAGAGGGAAATGCCATGGCTTTCTTGGGTCCCTTGATGAGAGCTGCTGAGAGGGGCTGCAAGCCAGTTGTCGAGTGGTTCGTTCAAAGGGGTTGTCGGGACATGGAAATTTGTCTAGCTCTTACGGCTGCCACCTCCAGCAGTCAAGTAGATATAGCAGCATATCTTCTCCCGCATGTTCCACAGCATGTTCTTGCTGCACTCAGCATTGAGATTCTCAAGGCTGCTGGTGAACGAAGTGGTGGATCTCTTGATGGGGTGGCATTTCTCCTGCGTTCAGACTTTTTAGGGGATCCTGCCGCTACTTACGCAGTTGCTGACAGCATTGCTAGATCTGACGACGAGGCTGTTGCTCATGACCTCAAGGCTTTTCTTCAAGAACATTGGTCAGAGGCAGCTTTCTTAGATGGACTGAAACAAGGGGAAGTACATTATTTGAACCTCGTGCAGATTCTAAAATGGGGCAAATCTCCCATCTGCTTAAGGGATCTTCCTGGCCCTCTGAGGGTGGCAATAGCTTACCTTCCACTGTATAGGGAATGCATTAAGGCAGGAGGCCAGTTGTTATCACAGCGGCACAGAGGGCAACTCGTGGAAGCTGCTAGAAGGCTAGGAGGCTTGATACTAGAGGAGCCGGGACAGAGAATAGAATTACTTGCTGTCTTAGAGCATCATCTTCCTCCATTTTTGCTTAATGCACCAACTGCCTCTTAGCTATACAGAAACTCAAGATTTTGGGAAACCCCCCTCCCCCACTACCCACCCCAAAAAAATCCCTCCTCTCCCATGTTAAAGATAATAATGACATAATATCTCGGTTGAAGATGATCAAGTTCTAGAGGTTTGTCAGTTTCCTTAACGTCTATGAAGGTGGCTACTGCCTCAGCTTATACAAAGCATACTTAGAAGTGCGTGTAAAAGCTGTTAGATTGAAGCTGCTATTTAGATGTTTTTCTATGTGATGGGCATGTATATTGGTTTAATTCATATTTGTGTGTGACGCATGGCATTTTTGGACATTATAGTCGACTCGTACTTGGATGGGGGATTGCTAGGTAAACGTAACTAGTCAAATTGCAGTCTTTCAGTTAAAAGAAAAAATTGCAACAGAGATAAAAGCAAAATTTACTGATAACTTAGGGAGAGTGTTTGGTGATTAAGATGAAATCTGCCATCAGTTTGCTTGTACAATGTTTTGACATAAAATTCTCGCAGAACATGGCACTTTGAACGTGGAAAATGAACTATTTTCACTGTGACCTCAAATTGCAGATCTAGACACCATTACACCGATGGAGCTTTTTACAGGCCAAGTTGGTGTATACATGGGTTGGTAAAATTTAAGAAATCTTAAGGGTAATATGGTAAATGTGTTGGTCGACTGAGAATAAGACACCGTGTTTGTATGGATATAATTATAAGTTGTTGAGATTATAATATGATAGTAATGAGTAATAAATAAGTGAGTAATAATTGTAAGTCTTACGAAATGTGATGTTTGATTTTGACCATTAAGTTAGAAAGAAATTATAATGTTTTCCAAACGTACAATGCATTGTAAGTTGCTCTAAAATTATGTTGTGATTGGAATGAATTGTAAATAAGTGGACAATAATTAGAGGTGGACGTGGTCAGATTTCAAAGAGAATCAAACCTAAATAAATAAAAATTACTGGGCATCTTGAACTAACAAGTCCAGCTTTAATTATTTCGGTTCGTTTCCGTTTTGTGTCGTAATTAAGTTTTTCAATGTTTTCATAATTTCAATAATTATTTTAATTCTTCAAATATTTGTCGTTTTGTATAAAGGTGGTATCAATCACTTGTTTTAAATTAAATTAAAAATACTAAAAACACAATTAATAAGTTGTCTAATAAAATTTATTCACCAACGTACACGAAAGATCAAAAAGTAGATAGTAACAATGAAACATAGGTGAATTTCCTTTCTATCTCACAAATTCTTTTGCTTCAGGACATCAAATCTACGTGAAATATAAGTAAAATATATCTATAGTATTGTTAACACTTACCAACCATCTAAGCCAACATGGGTGTTTTAAGCCAACATGGGTGTTTTTTGTGCTTATAGATACTACTTATAAGTAGGATTCAAACATGCTCATAAGCTAAACTATGGCCGGAATTTCAGTTGGATCATTGAACTTTAGGGTTTGTTTGAACCCCATTCTGTGGAAGAATAGATTTTGTAATAGTATTTTTTTCGAATATGTATAATTTAAAGGTAGAGAAAAATTTTGGATTTACATGTAAAATTATTTTATTGAGAGAAAGTGTTGTTGAAAATGAATTTGGGGTCAAACAAGTGCTTAATTTGTTTATGAGTTACTCAACTTCAATTTAGCTTCAATTGGATGGCCGAACTTCAATTTTATTTTTAAATTTCACCACTTCATCACTTCTTGACCCCAAATTGGTGTCGTATCCTAAATGGATGAAAGTTGTTCAAATGAAAATCATATCACAATAGACCTTTCATATAATGGATTTGCTATTTATACATAAAATGGTACATAAAGAGTTACAATAATTTTATATGGTGGGAAAAGATTTGATGAAAAAGTTGACTGTATTTTAAATTGATAAATGATAAAGTGACATGTGTTATTATGTAAAATTTAATGTACATGTAACAAGATCCTCATATAATAGTTACATAACGTGCCAACATACCACTCTATGTCAAAATATTAGAACACTTTTTTAATCGATAAATATTGCCAAAACGTTCAATATTTTGAAGGTGTTATACAACAATTACATAGAAGATCAATTACGATATATCTGTCAATCATTGTTCATGTTTTAAATAACATCAAGTAACAAGATATGACACGATAGATAAATTTAAAACTTAATTGAAGTTCGCAATATAGATTTCATGATGATTCTGAATGGAAATTTTCACATGAAAATGATTGCCTATTGCAACAGTTCAAAGGAACAAGACAAGAATTCAGAAACTGCATATAGGAAGAAGAACTCACGTAATATGTTTTCAACGTTTGAATCAAATAAATACTGATGCTTATTTCCACGCCAATTACACATACTTATGGGTCGAGGACAACGTCGCATCTCGAACGTTAGACGACACGAAAGCCAAGATCATTAGGAGTGCCAAAATGCATATAGGAAGCAGCAAAAGCATCAACGGTGGTGGTGGCAATGGAGGAAGTATCAATGGCAGTATTAGCAATGATGCTGTTAGGCAAACCAGTAGAAATAACGATTCCAACCTAAACGTTTTCCGACCAGAGAACGAACGAAGATTCTCCGATTTACGTCCCTCGACTAACTGGACAACGCCGTCCCTTTTCAATAAAGTAGGATTCCTTGCTGCTTTTACATCCATCATGCTGTTCAAGTACTGATCTTGCAGATTCATGAACCTATTCGACATTGCTAATTTTGGTTCGCGTTGTTCATTAATCATTGAGATACGGATCCCAAATGCAAATCGAGTTCGAGTTCGAGTTCGAATTCTTCACAATACCAATCTTAGATGCACCTCGGGATCGAGTTCTTGGTGATTCAATTAGGTCGCTGCTTCTACTATTCAATATATCCTTAATAGTGAATGCAAGCCAACAAATGGATCTTTTGCACTGAGATAAATCCAAGTTTCTAAATTACGGGCCAAATGCGAACCCCAAGTAATCAGACCAACAAAATAATTTTTCCTGAAAAAAAAAGAAAAAAGAAAAAAACACTTCGGATCAATACCAAATTCAGCTGCAACTAAGATTCATGGTGAAATGAAAGGAAAAGAAAATTATATTCATCGATTTCCAAAATTATATGGGTACCAAGAATTTCCTATTTTCAAAAATAACAACCTTAGAGCACAATCAAGAAACAAAAAACGGGAGATTAAAATAAAATTCAATAATAATCACAATAACACTATTTAAGAATATTTGAAGCCTAGAATGTAAAAAATCTAGCCAGAGATCTAAAAACATACAAGAAGAGAGAGAGAGAGAGAGAATTTATCTACAAAATCAAGAAAAGTAGAGGTAAAATCTTGGAAGGATACCTATAGTTTGTGTAAAGCTGCAGCAAAATGTGATGCAAATTGAGCTTCTGAAAAGTGATCAAAACTTAATGCTTTTTCTCTCTATTCTTTTCTTTTCACTTTCAAATTCTAATATTCCAATTCTGCAAAACCAGCATTTTCGTGCAAGAAAAACTAAAGTTGGGTGGTGGGGAAAACCAGGTTTTGATTGAAATGGAAATATAGAATGACAATTGCCAATTTATGTGTATTTTTAGTCAATCTTGAATTATCTGCTTAAGTTAAAGGTGGGGTGGTTCGATTCTTTGGTAAGAATGAGATTTGGGATGTCCGGTGGCTTAGATACACCAATATTCAAGAAAACTCTAATATCCTATTCTATTATATTCTAGAGAGAAGAAGACACACATATTTAGATATAGATATATAGAGATAGAGGAATGGAAGGAGGGAGGAATTCAGTGAATGAGAAAGACAAGTGGAACGGGCAAATTTATGGGTAAATAAAATGAGTGTGTGTGTGTGTGTGTGTGTGTGTGAGTGAGAGAGAGAGAGAGAGAGAGAGAGAGAGAGAGAAGGTTCTTCTCCCCTAGACGTTACTGCGCTCACTGACCCTCATGTTCGGTACAAAGGAAGAATTTTGATGGTTACTTGTCTTTATTATCTATATTAAAATCTCATCCTAACTGTGATCCGAAAAGTTTGAATGATTAAATGGATGGTAGAAATTAAATAAAAATACTTAAAAAAATATATATATACCAATTTTTATGTAATCAGATTGAAAATTTGAGTGTTTTTAAGAGTAATAATATTCATAATGATGACTATTGATAATCATTTTACATGATATACTTGTGGCAGTTGTGTTGTTTAATGTATCCTTACTATGAATAACATTATTTAGTTTTCTGTATTCCTTAAAATTGTCTTTTTAATCGATGATAATCTTTACTGATAATGATCAATTACATTACTAAGCTTGATTTGAAGTTTATCGTCTCTTGAAATTAGGCGATCTTTATTAATGATGAATTACATTATTCTTCTCGATCAATCTAATAGTGAAAATCTCAATGATCACTGTGTTTTCAACGTCTCTGAATAATCATCTTACTTTCAAAGTAATTTTCACTGAAAAAATCTATTTCTTGTTGAGATATTTACTTTTAAAGTTGTTTTCTAACATTCGATTTTCACGTTGTTTACTGGATAATTTGAAAAATCAATGATTTAGTTTACCACATCCTCAAAAGTGAAATGGACATTAATGTTGAAAAAATATAAAATTTAATAGTTATTGAGAAATAACTATAAAATGTACCATGGTAATTCAAATTTTTAACTCGACGATTCTATAATAAAACACTCTTTCCCTCATCCTTGATTAGGGTAACCCTCACGTAACACATTTTAATAAGTCAATATTCAACAATTTCATCACATATTCCATCAAGAATTTTAGTCCCATACAAAACTATAATTCCATGGAAAATGGCTGTGTTTGTAATACCATATTTCACCTAAATAGTAGGCGGAAATGAGTGTTAGTCGCCAATAAGTCCCATCGTCGATAAATGACAACCTCCTAATTTCACGGTTAGGATTAGGTCAGGGGTGTAGCCTCATCACAGCGTTGTTATTATTATTATTATTATATTTTACATTTTTTTTAAATGATTTTGAAAAAATAAATAAAAAGTAGAATTCGTCCAAACATTGAAAAAAGAGTTGTCTCATTGCATGGAACTTAAAGCGTTTGGTGTCAATGCGTCGAACCAGGTCAACTCAAAAAACACGACATCAAATTAGAACTTTCATCGTGTTTTTGGTTATTTATTATTAAATAAAATTATTGGATGAAAATTCAATGAATTAAATCTATAAGAACCGCAAAGTCGTGTCTTCTGATTAAAAAAATGAATCAGTTAGAGCTTGTATGCAAAAGATTTTATT